AAACCCTCAACATGGGAAGTATAAACATAAAAGACCATTCTTCTTGTAGTACTAGGCATTTGGATTTCTTTTTTTAATCATAAAATTGAAAGTTATCACCATCTGCCCTCCTGTGGAAGAAATATGTTGCTGCAGCACTAGTCTTTGCCAGCCAGAAATACAAGTTTGCAGTTACGTCTTAATTTTACCAAAACAACCCAGTATTACTAGAGTGCAGCTCTAGTGTACGTGAAATTCATCTCAGAAGACAGATTCCTGTTAACAAGAAGTAGTTCAATTCACTTGAATTCCTCAAGCAAATGCTTTACCATCCCAAGCACTTTTAGAAAGATACAATTTATACTACTCAAAGGTTGGAGTACATTAGCCATCATACAGCTGCCACTGCCTCTCTGTCCTATTTCCCAGAGTAACAGCCCAGGCATTACAGGATTTATCCAACTCTTCTAAAGGAAGAACAGCTACATTTCCTATTTCCACATAATAGCTTCTATAAAAGGCCCTGCTTCAGTATCCAAGAACCTACTGGAAAGAGAACAAACAAGAAAGAGGGGGGGCAGGCAAATGGATGTGATTTCCAAGCCATTTCTCTGCAGTAACACAACAAAGGCTACCCAGAAGGGCTGAGAGCTAGGCACTTCAAAAATTAACTTGGGCCTTCACTCCTGAAACAGAGCGCCAGAACACAAAGTACAGGCAGCCCATTCAGCGTCACAGCTATACAGAACAGTTTCAGCAGCAAACCCTCTGTATTCATTGTTCCAGGGCACAAAACAGATCTTTGGGAAAGCATGTAGTCCTAACCTTCCATTCCTGCAAACTGAAAGAAACAGTGCACCTGAAGGTTTCGGACAAGTTGCACAAAAGAACAAGTGAAAGTGGGAGACTGGAGGTCAGGCGCAGTGCCAGATAAAAATAAAACAGGTTTTTTTTTTTTACTAGCACCTTTTCACACAAATGAAGACTAAAGCTGTTTATTGGTGTTAGCAGTTAGCAAACAATGCTGATGAAGGGGGTGGTGGGGGTGTGTGTGCAATAAAATCAAGACAGATCCTGTCATGCTTCATGCACTCAAAAAAAACTACACTATACCGTCGGAAGCAGAAGAACCCTTTGCTCCAGCAAGGTCCTTTTCTTTAAAGGACAGAGTTACCGTTATTTTTCTTCAGGTATTATAAAACCTATTAATTCAAGTTGCATGCAGCATCTTAGAAATTCAGCTTACCTGCATTTCGTATCCTTTCTTTGTACTGCTGGTCCAACTTTTTCATTCTTTTCTGATATTCCTGAAGAGTACCTAGTTGAAATAAATTGTGGATTCCCACTAGAATTTATTTTTTCCAAGTATTAAATTTTCCCAAGGAGCCACACACCACTTGAAATACAAATACTAATATCTGAAATCAGAAAACTACAGTTGTAGTTTGCTTATTTTGATAAGCATGTTCCCCATTTTTCCAGAAATCCGACTGCTCTTTTTAAGAAATGCTTTGGTACACAGACGCTTAACTGTGAGTGTTTAGAGGGAAAAAGGATGGAACGTGGCTGACATTTTTCACTAAGCAGCACGCAGCATGACTGAGAGCCACCATTCAGTGAAGAATACTGCTTACATCTTTCAAAATGGTCATCGTTCTATGACCTTCGAAAAGTGCTGAAAATAGTTTAGGAAAAAAAGCTATTCCCTTCAAAACTTACCTTCCTGCAATTGTTGTAATTGCCTCTTCAGAGATGCCAGTTTGTCCTGATACATCCTGCAAAGATAGAGAGCATGCAACTTTACTTTGAAAAACAAACATACATCATTTATTTCACCATCTGTTTAGGTAGGTTGCACGTGTTTACACAGAATTAAAAACTTTTCAGAAGAACTTCAGGAAACAAATAAGCAACAACTACCAGAATATTATTGAAATGAAAGGTTATCATTCTGTCTAAAAACCCTGCTACCCCATTGGTTTTACAATGCACCCAAACCAATTATTTTGGGAACAGTTCAGGGTAAAATAGGATTTTTAAAAATTTTTTTTTAAATGTCAAAATCTAAAATGACATTTAGATCTACAGACACCAGAAACTTTACAACAGAATCATACTACCACTTTGTCAACTCTTAATATTTGTGTACTAGTTCCCTACTTATAAAACAGAAGGCATTTCCTCATGTAGATCTTGACATCATAAAAAACCTCAAAGTCTATTCCTGGCACTGTTGCAAACTTGCTTTTCCTTTCTCACATATCTGTGGTTTAACACAGGCCAAGTCTTCCTGACCTGTATAAAGACATGTCTCTGCCAGTAAGCAAGAACACAAAATACTGCAAATACACCTAAACATCAAGAGAAACTATTTCAAGTCTCCAAAAAGCCTGCTGACTTGGACAGGCCTAGCATTCTATTGTTTAAGGGGTTTTAATAGGCATCTTGCTTTTTGCTTGGCTTATGTAAAGTAGATCCTTTATTTTATTTGAAAGATCTGTCTGCAGCGGGATTCATTTGCAACAAAACTCAGCTGCTCCTAGAAACTTGTACCTGTTTCTTTGTTCAAAACAGTAGCAGCACTTAGTTTCTTTAATACATATAGAACACAAAGTGACTGAGAAGCAATACAAGTATGTGGACTCATTAGCTATCACATTGGGCTAGGCACTTAAAAAACGCTAACCCTGGCCCAAAACATTGCCAAGTTTTATGCAAAAATCCCCAAATAAACAGAACATTACCTTACTTTTTATTAGAATGGATTACTTACTGTTCTTTCATTTCTACAAAGTCCTCTTCCTCATGTTTTGCCAGGTCAGTTTCACTGGCATCCTCAGTGTCTAAATGAGGTAAAGAATGACTTGTTAAAATTAAAGTAGTATTTAAAAAAAACCCCAAATTAGTAAATTTTTTAAAAAAGACAGAAATAAGCAATCCCCAAACCTCAGGCAATTTAACCTCAAATACAAAACCAGATAGGCCTCTGGAGAGATGAATTCAGAAGTGAAATGAACCATCTCACCTCTTTCCTGCAACTGCAAGTTAACCTATGTAAATCCTCTAGTAGTTTTGCAATGAAGCTTACAGCAAGTCTAAACAACTTCAGCTTCAGCTACTCTGGTAATTTCTTCCCAGTTTAAGACAACAGCTTCTAAATTAACACTCACATATATAAAGGTGAGACAGAAACGGTCTAAAGACTGAAAAACGCTTCACAGGCTGCTTCTTATAGTTTCGCCCATGATGTAATATACTGTATGGAAGACAATGGCTGAAACAGCTGTAACTGATTCTGCATCTTGACCTGAAATACTCCAAAACAAAAATACTATGACTAGATGCCGTTAGGGTTGACCACAAAGGTCTTGCTAAAGATAACAAAGTTACTTGCTGTGATCTGAACATGACTTCTCAGCTACGTGTTGCACAGAAGTACTTCAACATTTATACATAACAAAGACCAGCACTACCATAAAGATAGCCCCAATTTTATGAATAGATAATATAAACTACAAACAAATTAAACCAGTACGAGACTGCTAGCTTTCTGCTATGCCTTTTCAGGCTTCTATTTGTAAGACAAGGGTAGCCAAGAATTAATTACCTTTCCTCTCCAAGGAGAGGTCAGTGCCTCCAGGCTGGAGTTGTGGTAGGCAGGGTACAGCCATAAAGCCTAAATTACAGCTACATTCCCTACGTACGGACGGGGGGGGCACCAGTCCCTTAAATCAAACCTTTCCCGGGATTTTCTTAAACTATGAACAAACACTTTAAGCTTACACGTATTAAGATAAAATTCAACACAGCAAAGATAAAACAAAAAGTTTTAACTGAAAGAAAAATACTTGGATGCCTAGGTCACCATAAAGGACTTCCATACTCAGTTTACTTGTGTGCAGCCATGGAGGGCCCCATGCTGACCGGTAACGCTGTCACCTTTGTAAGGATCTACAGGTTTGACTCTGGCACCTCATCCAGGAATGTGCCAGACGTGATGGAGGACTCTGACAGAGCAACAGGCACTGTCAAAGGGTCATTCTTCACCTCCCCTATATGACCTTATAAGTTATTTTATGAATCCTACACCCCAGAATACTCTGGGTTTGGCTTCCATTTCCTCTTCTCTACTGCTTTCCTGGTCCTTCCTCAAAATCCCTCTTTCCTCTAACATCCTCTTGCACCCCCTTACTTCCGTCCACCCTTTCTTCTACCTTAACTGCCTCCTTTCCCCTTCACACCACAAAAATATAACCAAGTTCCACACACCAGATTTCTGCGCTACTTTTACCCTGTTGTCCCAGACACTCAATCCCACCTCCTCAGTGCCCTCCCCTTCTCTCACTGCCTCTTCACCTAGGAAACCACTTCAATTCCACCTCTCCATCAGCTTCGCTTTTCTACTCTGCCACAGGGAACCCCAGCAATCTAACAGGCCCTTCTTTTCTTCGCTTTTTCTTGCTGCTCCAGACCACTTCTTCACCAAACCCGACCCAAGCCTTTCTTCCCCACTCTCCTCCGCCTCCCCAGCGCACCCGTCCGGCGCA